AGCTGAAATAGGGCCATGTTTTCATTGGTAAGGGTCAGTAGAGCAAAATTCACAGTCTGGAGAGATGTGCACAGAGACTGTGACCGAGGGCTTCCACCTTGACCTACAGAGAAACCGCGGAGGGTCGTTTATGTTCCCATGCTGTGCTGGCGACATGGCCAGGCTTCACATCTTTGTAGCTCACTCTAAACCTGGCTCGAAATCAACTTTTGAAAAGGGAGCTTCAAAATATTTTAAGCAATGAGAAAATGGTTAGAATAAATGTAGACCTTCTCCAAGAAATATCACAATGCTATTATCTATGTTCTCTTGAAATGAAAGCAAAACGGAGAAGTGAATCCAAGGCAGAGTGTTTTGCAATCTTGTGTAGCCCTGGGAGCAACCATTTTGTGAATCTGAATTTAAAGATGGAAAGAGATGCTAGGTCAAAAGAAAAAATTCAGGAAGAGGTAAGAGAAAACCAAAGGAAAGTGGGCGCCTTTCCTCACTCCTCCACCCTCCTGCCAGCCGGGGTATCTGGTTACAGTGCCATGGGAGTTTAACCATAAATAAATTGAACCTGAATTATGCTTGTCAAAGCAAATGAGCAACACTGGCTTGATGGTTCTGAGTCTTGGCTTCCGTGATCGCTGTATTTTTCTTGCTCAGGTAACTTGAAACATCATTGATGGACATTGCTAATCCCAATTATTTGTGAGCTTTGGCTGGCTTTCTTAATTACAAAGGGAAAAGTCCTTTTCCTGTAGGAGATGATTTGGGCACTCAGGTGCCTTCAGTTATTCATCTAAATTCCCAGAGTGATAAATCTTCCCGAGGTCTCTGCTGTTCCTGGCCTGGGAAATGGTCCTGCGTCCCCACCCATCCCCACTTCCTTCCCCACAGATGCTCAGAATGGGCTCTGTGAGGAGCTCGGGGTGGCTGCAGCACAGAGGGGTGAGTGTGGCCATGGAGCAGGCGACAGAGGGGCAGGCAGGGACATCAATAGCAGGTGCTCCTATTAGTACTCACTCTGCCTGAGGAACATCTCTTTCCTTCTCTCTTTTCTGCTTCCTTTTTTTTCCTCTCCAGAATGTTAAAAAAAAAAAAACTTACAGGGGGGCAAAACAAACAAAAACATAATTAAGTTAATTAAAAGTGAGAAACTAGGGCTTTTGGATTGCAAGAGACAGAAATCCAACTCTTGCTTAAGACAATGTGGGGATTTTCTTGACTCACAGGGAAAGGAAGAAGAGGAACTGGGCATTCAGCTGTGGGTACTGTGTTCTGGGTGCTGTACCCAGGCTGGCAGGCTAGCTGGGCATAGAGTGGGGCAGCTCCAGGCTGAAGTCGAACGGCCTTGGGAGAAGAACTAACTGGGCTCTGTCTGCTCCAGCTGGAGTCCCAGACCAGAGCTCTGTCACCCAAGACCAGGTCCCCAGTGTGAGTGGAAGCAGGGGGAGGGATACTGGCAGCTCCACTGGCCCTGAATGCAAGTTCCCCCGAAGGAAGATTGAGAGATTCGTGTAGGACTCCAGCAGGAGTTACTGCGACTAAGGGCAACAGCTCTGATGTCCCACGTTCTAGCCACCCCAGTGCCACAAGGTGCAAACAGGGCAGAATCCAGGAGCAAGACAACTATTCTGGATATAAGGCCAAACAGGAATTTCTCTCTGGGGATCTTTGCATATGTCTTTTTTATGTCTTGAATGATCAAATCCCGGAATTAGCTAGCAACCATTTACCTCTGGCCCTAATAAGATGGGTCCTTTCCAACAGGGTTTCAGGAGTCCTGCTGGAACATTCTAGATAGAAGCAGCCTGCCCCACAGTGGTCTTGTGCCTCCTCTGAGCTCTGTCCCCAAACCTGCTGCCTCCCTGCTCCCCCCTTAGCCCTGTGCAAAGCCCAGCACATAAGCAGTACCCTTCTCAAGTCCTGCACTACCCTTCTTCTATCTAGAAATCTCTTCCACCTGCTCCTTGGGTGGTATTGCATTTATGGGCCTCCAGCTCCGCAATCTAGAAAATATTCTAGAAAGACTCAAAACCAACACCTATAAAAACCAACAAACTCATTTTTACATCTGACACAACAGATCCCCTACATAAGTCACTCAGCCTTCCAACCCTTGCAGTGTTTAAGAATTCAATGAGCTCATCTACGAACACTCTGTGAAACAGGAAGTACTCACACGCTTATTGTTTCTCACTCTGCAACTGGAGTGAGCTTATCAAGTGTTTTCCCATCTGTGTGTCCAACATATAATCGACCCTCAGTGCAGCCCGTGGGGGCTGGAGCTCCTAATTTGCCATTGGAAGGCTGGGCCCTTGACGTGCTCAGGGTCAGGTTTCTGCTGATTCATCACAACATGCACTCGATAAGTATTAATTAATTGAACACAGGAAGAAAAGGCAGTGGTTCCTTATACTGACCACACAGTCTGTTGGTGTCCATCTCAGCCTTCCAAGAACTCAGAGAGAAAGAAGGAGCATCCTTGGCAGGTTCAACGCCTGTCTAATGGAGAGCACCTGGGAAGTCATCCAAGCCAGCTGTCTTCCTTTGCAGATAAAACGCTTGAAGAGGTGCCCGTCTGCCCAGCTTGGCAGGTGAGTGCAAGCTCACCCAGACCAGGGCCCAGGCTCCTGTCCAGAGTGGCTTCCACTCTTAGTAAATAGAACAAAAACTACTATGAAAGTTTATCTCCTTCTTCCACTACTTTGAATCTTTTCCAAAATAAATAGCAGAAAGATCAAAGTCTTAAATGTAAAATGATTTGCATGCAAAGAACGAAAGCATAAAAACTACAGAAGTAAATATGGAAACGTTTTAGAAATAATTTTGAAGTAGGAAGGACATCCCGAAGTGTGACAGAAAACCCCATAAAAGACATAAAAATAAATTGATATCAGGTGCAGTGACCCATGCCTGAAATCCCAGTGACTTGGGAGGCTGAGACAGGAGGATTGCAAGTTCAAGACCAACTTTAGCAACTCAGTGAGGCCCTAGGGACTTAGTGAGACCCTGTCTCAAAATTTAAAAAAATAAAAAGGGCTGGGGATGTGGCTCAGTGGTTAAGTGCCCTGGGTTCACCCTGATATCCCCCCCCAAAATTAAGAAAGTAATCCATTTAAGTAGGAAAAATTCTGCATGGAGAATGGTGATAAACAAATTCAAAAGACAAATAATAAATGGGGAAAAAATACTGGCAACTCCCAGCCCTGACAAGGGTCTATTTTTTTAGTATCTGAAGAATGCCTATAGTACGTAAGAAAAAGACCTACAATCCAGCAGGAGCCTAGGGGAAGAAATCACAAAGAGACAATTCATACAAAGGCAACTGTAAATACAGATATACAGGGCTGGGCGCAGTGGTGCATGCCGGTAATCACAGTGGCTTGGCAAGCTGAGGCAGAAGGATCACTAGTTCAAAGGCAGCCTCAGCAAAAGTGAAACGCTAAACAACTCAGTGAGACCCTGTCTCTAAACAAAAAAATACAAAATAAGTCTGGGGATGTGGCTCAGTGGTTGAGTGCCCCTGAGTTCAATCCCTAGTACCCAAAACAAACAAACAAATGTACAGAGACTTTCGTTCATCACAATAGGAGGCACTATTGCACCTAACAGATTGTCAGATGTCAAAAACCTGGAAATAGGTTGTGTTCCCGTGGGTGCAGAAAGACAGGTGTGATGGTGTGATGTTGGCTGTGAGGGTTGACCAGCCTCCAGGAGGACGAAATTCACAATGTGCACGTTCCTTGCTGAGCAGCTGCCCTGCAGAGCACTCCTGATTTTGTGAAGTGCCCTGGGCCTGAGCTTCCCAGCGCCCAAGCAGCCGAGGCTCTTGTCATCAGGAAGCTGCTTACATACATAGAATGTAATAAGTAAACAGTGCTCACTACCAATCCTGTGGTGTGCACACAGTGGACTACTACTCAGCCAGCCCAGGAGCAATATGGCCACCTAGGACGTGACGTGGACAATCTTCAATGCTGAGTCAGATACAGGCCTCTTTCTGTGCAGTCCAGTACCTGCGTGTCCCTCACCCTCACCCCAGATGCTTCCCATGGCTCTCCTGGCACCTTCCTCTCATCAGCAGGTGGCACTGCTTCCTAGCCCCAGGAAAACAAGCGCTCAGGAAAGAGCCTGGTCTCCCAGAGTTCGAGGCGCTGGCTCCTGTGCACTGGTTCTGCTCCTGTTCCAGTGTGAGTCAGCCCCAGGCGACCCTTTTCCCTCCTTCTCACTAAGTCCCTAGGGCCTCACTAAGTTGCTAAAGCTGATCTTGAACTTGCAATCCTCCTCGAATAGGAGGATTCCGCGGCCCTTTCCCTCCTTCCTGCATCATCCACCCCTCCCGCCTGGTTGGGGTGTGGTCCTGAGCCCATCAACATGGGTGATATACCCCGACTTAGAAGGATCCCTCTGCTGACCCCGTTCCTCCCTGTCACTCCCGTGTTCAGTGGCACCCCCAGACACAGGTGTCCACTGAGGACCCCTCCTGCCCCTTCCCGGGCGCCTGCTACACCAGGTGTTGTTCGCACACACCCCTGCTCTTCTAGCTGACGGGCCTCACTCGGGTCAAAGCCAGTCCTCACTGATGGAAGGGCTGAGCCCTACCTGACCTTCCTCTCACCAAACTTGGAACCCTGCAAGCCACCTTTCACGCTTCTGGTACCCTCGTCCTCCAGCCGCCCACTGGGCTCACCCACGCAGCCTCGACTGGTGCTCATACGTCCAGGGCTGCCCAGAGGGAAACCAGAGCAAGAGACCCTCTGCCTCCCTCCTCCTCCCGCTCCTGCCTCCCCCACCGTCTCCAGTTGGCCAAACCTGGCCAGACGCCAGTCAGCAGGAGATCGGGGGCTGTTGTTCCCAGTTCAGAGCAGGGTGGGGCAGGGAAGGCATCTTTGAGCAGAAACCTGAGGTTATTACCCAAAGACACTTCTGCATTCATCCCACAAGTGTTGGGAAGACCGTGAGCCATGGTGAAGAGGCGCTACAGTGACAAGAAAATGTCCTCTTACACAGGCTAGTGGACAATGAACTTTGTGATTACACTTTGCTCTTTGACCTCGAAGGTAAAAAGCTACAGTAAGTGGGGACAGAAAGGCAAAGCAAGGCTTTCAGCACAGTGGTGCTGCTGGCCCTGTGTGTGGTGCTGAGGAAGCTTGTGTAAGCCACCGAGAGTCGCACTTGGAAGGCTTCTCTGTCTCCCGTTCTCTTCCAAGACCTCATGCAATGCTTAGGAGTTATATTTAGGAACATTGTACAAAATACCTTTTGATCCACATTGGCATAAGGAGAGTTGTCAAATACCACCATGTCCTTGAGATCTGTCCTGCACGTCCGTCCGGAGTCCTTGAACTGAACATCTCTGTGGGATTTGCTGAGCACCAAATGGGCATTGATTGATTGCAGACTGAAGTGCTAAGACACAAGGACAATGGTGGATGAGGCAAGGTCGCCGGGGGCTGACTCAGGCAGTTTCCTCTTCGTGGGGATCGTGCCTATGCCTCTCCAGTGGGACTTGAAGGTCAAAGGTAGCTGTGCACACCTGAAAATCAAGGTCACCCTTGCTGCCCATGCCAAGGGCACAGATGATATGTGCATTTATTTTCTCCTGGAGTCTTGATGAAAAGCCCTGATGATGTTCTAGAGGCCAGGCCTGGCTGTCAGCTACATGTTATCTGAGGGGACGTCGTCAGTGGTCATCCAGGAGATCAGATACACCCTCCCATGTTCGTTAGGGCCACACTGTCCTGCAGTGTAGGCACTTTGGAGCTGGTATAATTGCCAAAGTAACTTTGTTTGCTCAGGAAATGATTATGATTAATTTGCATTATTTACTCACGTACCAATGGACAGATGATCAAGAGGTCAGAAAACGGTCAGGAGCCATATTCAGGTTGCAATGGGACTCCAAACTTCCCGGGTTGATGGTCTGCTTATTGCATGCTAATAACTAAGTCTAGAGCTGACACACAGAGACCTTTAGTCACATTCTGCAACCTGGGGAGCCCAGACGTTCCACCCCATGGCAGGTGAGGCAGATCGCTGGAACGGGCATGCTGTGGGTCAGTGACGAAGGCAGCTGTTGGCAGAACCAACGACTTCATTCCCAGCTAATGCTGTTTACGTGACTACGGCCCTTAGTCAGGAAGGGAGCTGATTGCTGGGATTACCTGCCTTTTATTTAGCAAACAGACGCTCTCCACTGTGCCCCACAGCGTGGTTCCACGCACCCTGCTTGCTGAATCTGTTGTTCTGGAGAACTGCTGAATGTGCTTTTAGGCACAGCGCTGGCAAAGACCCAGGCTTCTCCCCAAGGGAAGAAGTGAACAGCAATTCTGACCCTTGGGAGAACATTGCTACAGAGTTCGCCCTTTCCTCCTCCCAAAGTGCATCCCGGATCTCGCCATCGGGGCTGCCTGGGGTTGACAGGCATTATGGATCAAGGGCAGCCTGAAAGGAGATGGAGGAGAGGCCAAATTGGGTGCCTCCCCAAATCAAAATGGACCCATGAAGGGGGTGGTCAGGAGATTTGGCATCCCAGGGCAGTGTTCCACTCACCCGGGCCCCCCGCCTCTCTTCCCTCAGGTATCAACATTAGTGGCTTCATTTGCACCGGTGAGTGCCCAAGCTGAAAGGGAATGTGCCTATTGGCCTTGGTTGTCATCGTCAGGTACATGCCCCGAGCTTGGTGTCCAGTGAGTTAGCACAGCATTTACAGAGGCCCCGAGCCCACACCTTGTTGGATCATTTTTCCAAGAGTGGCATTTGGCATGGAATTGAGTCCCTGGGGTCCTGAAGGTATACGCCATTGCTCTCACAATCCTGTGTCACTGTCTGGAAACAAGGCAGCAGAGATGTTCTGTAGCTTATCTAAGTCACCTGGGAGGCATTTACTAGAGAGTCTTCTGAGTCTTGCGTAAAGCTTTTAAAAGAGGAGGGGGGCAAATCTGTACTGTTTTCATAAAGGGAACAGCAATGAGAACCAAGGGACATAAGTTAATGGATGCAAAGCACTTGCTAGCAACTAGGATGCAGCTTCCCTAGACCGTGAAGTGCATATGCCGTTCTCTCAGGGGGGCTAATTGTCATTAGAGGAGATAATTTATATGAGCTACCCAGCATGGTGACCAAAGAGTTGCTTCCTGTCACCTTTCCCACATGGGGACACGGCCAATGAGGAGGGGGATTCATCAGACACACACATCCATTTATAAGTCCCCAGAATCCTGCCATCGGTGACATTCCAAGGGCACAGGGCAGGTGTGGACTTTGAATCCATGAGCACACCACCGATTCTGAACCCTTCTAGGTTGTCGATGCTCTGCAGAGATGACCTGTGGCTTCCAAAATCATCTTCCTTTATGTGAGATATTAATAGACAAAGAAAAAGCAGAAGTAGGAAAAGCAGAGACAAGTAAGTTTGGAAAATTAGGTTAAGTGAAATTAAAGCACCAGGACCCACCCCTAAGCCCTGGGTGGAGGTTTCCTTTACTCACAGTCTTAACATCCCTTGTCTTGCAGTTCCCGACTCGGTCATAGGCCTTGGCCTTGATGCAGCAGTTTAATCATCTTCTCTGAATTGCCTTGGTTTGGGAAGAGGTGGCGCCATCATGATGGGCCAAGAAATTGAGCGGAAGCCCTGAGGGCTGACCGCACTCAGCAGTGGGTGCTCCAGCCGTGTGGGTGATGCTAGTGCCCTGGAATAGCAGTCCCACAGTCACCAATTTTGGGACTGGGAAACAGGGTTAACAGTACTGCTCACTGGATATGCTGAAGCACGCAAAACCCCCAACAGCCTGCGCACTAACTATGGACTCACCATCATCTGCCCAGACCAACCACAATTCAAATGAGAAGCGTCTCAGCATGCCCGCTCCCCTCCACAGAAAGACTTGTCCTGAGCCACCTCTGGTCAAAGACCTGGGGTGTGTCTATCGTCATTATATCTTTGTTGTTTTTAATTACCGATTTATTGTGGAATGGTACTTTTGTAAAATTCTGTGAAAAAGTGAATTGCTAGAGCAATAAAATTGATGAAGTCATACAAAATATAATCCAGACAAAAGACAAGCCCTGGTTCAAAAGGCTTTAGAAATTGTGTAAAGATCACCCGCTCCTTTTCCCGATGGCAACGCTGGCACACAGTGGCAGTGGCCGTGAGGAGTGGGACTCCAGTAGTCCTCCTGGAGCACGTGGGATGGTTCTCGGCAAGCTCTTTCTCACCCTTCCATCAATCAGAAGGACGGAGCAGGCAAGGGGGAGATGAATGAGGCTCTGGCCTTGGGTGGAAATATTATGAGTGTGCCCAAAACTCAGCCAGCAATATAAAGGATATTTTAATGTAATCTTTCCTAAAAATCAGAATTTTGCCCTAAGGCAGGATCCATGAGCCAAGCAACATTGGAGCCTGAGGCAAAAGGCAAAACTCAGTCATCCTATCTTCATTTTGGTATTTTGTTCAGCACATATTTTACTGCATTATTTTTGGGAAGGTCATAGGCAGGGCCTTCAGCAATGTGGATGGCAGGGATCGGGGCATGGACAGCTGCTTGAGCACACCACATGTAGCCAGCTCCTGGCTGAAATAACCATATGCACACCCACAGGTAGGAGAAAATGGGGTGTTTTCAGAAAGTGCCCCAAAGCAAAACAATTACAGTGTTCCCTCCAGTCTGGATAGAAGACATATAATCAATTTAATAATATCTTTTGAGAAGAAAACAATGTCTGTTAACCTTCCTCTGACATCACCTAAAGGAAACACTCCAATTCCAGAAATATTAACATATGGTAACAAAATGGGGGAGGGAATGCTGTTAAAATGCAGGCAATACCGTGAAATGTTTTAATTTAAAATTCCAAGGCACTAAAACTTGGACTCCAATAAAATAAACTCAGGGAATAAACTAATCATCAATGAAGGATTGTACAAATTTATAGAAATCAATGGATAAAAGTACACAGTATAGTAATTGCTAAAAACTGCCCCATAGAGAAAACACACGATATGATAAGAAACATGGTATGTCCCCTTCTGAGCTCTTCCCAGTGGCTCCTCCCTGACTTCCCTCCGGCTCAGCCGGCTCCCTTCCTGTGGCTCCATCTTTCCTTCCAAACCCAGTTCTAATCCAATGGCAAGATTTATGCCACTCCAACCCCTCCCCCGGCAAGTTATCATGGAGACAGGGGCTAACATTTTAAGCTAAAGAGGGGACATTTAAATGACATCCAGGAGTGATTTTTAGTGGTGAGGGTGGACTCCCTTGGTCATTTAACTCCAACTGGCAGCGGAAGGCCTCCCCTCTACTACTTCTAACCAGAGATTTGAGCACTTAGTGAAATAAGAAGGTCTTGCGGGGTCCCCTGAAATCCTTTAACCTGGAGCCACCCAGGAAAAGACCCAGAAATCCCACACCACACTGGGGGCCATGGTGGAGCTTGGTGGTCCACCCCAGACAGCTCTTTTTAGAGGGACCCTGAGCTACTAGGCTGAGCTGCTGCGGGACTGAGGGGTCTTCCAGTCCGGCTTCACGCTGGGCTGGAGAGCAGGGGAAAGGAGACAAGTAACCCGACCTCAACTCACCCCAAGACCAGGGACCCATCTACCTCAGAACTTGGGCTGCAAACCTTGAGCTTGGCCAAAACAGGGCTCCCCGGGCCCCGAGACGTGGCCTTTTTCTAAGGCACGTTCACTACCTTGCGCTAACCACGCCTCCTCCCAAGAGAAGACTGTGCGGAGGCGGCACCTGGACAGGAATTAAGGCCAACTTCTCGTGGACCCCCAAGGTGTCTCCAAAATGACCCTGGCTGCGCTCTTCCTCTGGAATGGAATGCGTGCATTACTGAGTACAGAAGGAGCGAGCTGATGTCTATATTCAGAAAGCTCGAGTGACATTTGGAGTCACCGCGTCCTCTATCTAAGCAGGAGGGGAAGCGAACCCCACTCTCCCCACTTCCAACCCCGGGAGCTGAGGTCGTTCCATCCGGGAGAGCACCTGGGGGCGGGGCCTCAGCAGCGGGCGGTGCCAGTTACGCAGCCCAGTGGCTCCAAAGGACTGTGGCAGCACGTGGAGCCCCCTGGCCCTGGTTTTCAGGCCCTCTCTCAGCCATTTCTTCCCGCAGTCTCAGGAACTGCGTTTTCCGCGACGCGGGAACGTGAGCTTTACCGCGGATCCACTGCACAAATCCTGATGAAGCACAGCTGAACGGGTGGGTGGGTGGATGGGGGAGAAAAGCCTGCACTCACCCAGAGACCCAGACCGCTCTCCTTGTGGATTGGGGTCAAACGCCAGGTGGGCGGTTTTCCGTGAAGCCTGTGCTGGTCAACGTGCAGCCCACCGAAAACCGGGGGTTCCCACCGCTGCCGGGTCCCCTGCAGCAGGGACGAGACGCGTGTGCATCTGTGTGTTTCAGGGGGTCAGGCCTAAATAGAGACACTGGGAGACGCGATGGATCCGAAATCAGCTCTCGGAGAAAGTCCCAGCGGCCTCGGCCGCAGGGGACAGCGAGCGGCGACCCGGGGGCGACGGGGAGTGGGGCAGTGGCGCCGCACGCCGCGCACTTCCTGTTCAACACGCGCCGCCTTCCACCGCCCAGCGCTCCTCGAGCCTGCGCCGATGCCAGGCCCGGCTCCTCACTGTCCCTCTCAGTCTCCGGGGACCGCGGCACGGCTGTGGGCGGGGGGCGGGCGCCCTGCCCTCCCAGCTCAGCCGGGCTCCGGGCGCGCCCTCGGGCCCGCAGGCCTGCGAGCCTCCAGAAGTTCTGCCTGCAGCCACGCAGTAGCCCAATTGCAAAGAGCCTTCGCCTTTGCACCTCCTCTTCCCCTCCTGCCCTCCCTCTGGCCCAGAGAGGGGGACGGCCCTGGTTCCAGGCTCCAGGCTGCTTTATTCTGCGGCCGAGGGTTAAGTATATATGCACAAACTGTCTGGCTCGCCACGGTCTCCACCTAGGCACAGGCACAGGAGCGCTGTTTTCAAATTATTATTATTTTTTTTTAATAGCACCTGCCTTTCAGATTACCTCTGGGAATCTGTGGGAGGAGCCAAGAGGGTGGAAAATGTTGCTTCGCTTTGCAAAAGGAAGAAAACTTTGTCACCCAGCAGGAGACCTCTGCCACGCGTAACCGAACCAGCACGGGCTCTGGCTCTGACTCTGACTTTGCACCCGATGATTCCGTAGGAAAGAGCACGTTCCAACTCAGCGCTCCCCGCCGACCGCCATCCGCTCCGGTGGCGCGGCGCGAGTTACCTGCTCCACCCGCCCTCCCCGCGGAAGTCCCCACGAGGTGTCTTCAGGGTGGAAGGACAGTCATAAAGAGCGCGCGGCTCCAGTCCAACGGCAGCGACCGGGGGAGACGGGAGGGGGCAGAACCCCAGGGACGAGTCACCGGAATTAACTTCTGGTTAAAGTTATGGGAAGCGCGGCCATGGACACCAAGAAGAAGAAAGAGGCTTCCAGCCCCGGCGGGAGCGGCGGCAAGAAAAATCCCAGCCAGAAGCGACGTTCGCTGCGAGTGCACATTCCGGTGAGTTCCAGCCCTCCAGTCGCTCCAGACCCCGGCGCCGAGGCGGTTAACGCGGGACGCCCCGCGCGCGCCGTGCGTGCCCCTCCTGTCACTTCTGCAGCTGGGGAGAAGGGTGGAGGGGCAGGGCCCGACTGGGCTGCAGAGGCGAGGTTGGATCTCGCTCGCCACCCGTGTGTGGCCCGGACACTGGGACCGTCCGGAGCGGGGGCGCCTGCAGAGGAGTGGGGGTACGGGGCGCGCTCCCGGGCCGGGCGCGGCTGGTGGCCGGCTGGGCGTAGCCCTGGATCCAGCCGGGTGCGGGTGGTGGTGGGGCGGTGCATCGTGTTGTTTTGCTGAAAAAGGACGGTGTGGACTGCGCTCCGCGGGGGTGGAGCTGCGCGCGGCGGCCGGGGACGAAGGGGAGGGGCGGTGGGTGGGGACAGTGGCGTGGGTGGCTGTGTAACTGCGCCCCCAAATATATCTCTCTCCTCACGAATTTTCTGCGGGGTTCTTCTGGGCGCGGGGCGGGGGCTTCTCTGCAGCCCTTCTCCTGGCATGTCCTTCTGGGAGTGTAGTATGGTCATACGTGGTATATGGGGGTTCGGGGCTACCTAATCTGTGCAGGGCTGCCGCGAACTTCAGCCCCCGCCACGCCGGCGACCTGGACTTTGGCGACATCGATCGGTCTGCAGATCGACCTTGTCCAGCCAAGGGGAAGCGACGGGTAGGGTCGTGCGCCCACCTGAGATCCCGTCCGTCCGCCTGCCCAGGTAGCGCCAGACCTTTGTCCTGGCCTCCCCATTAGTGGGGTCTTGTCGTGGGAGGTGAACCGGGGCCCTTACTTTTACCCGAAGGGAACCCCCAACTGGGTCACACCCTCTGCCAATACCAACCAAGTGAAAGTCGGAACACCACCCGCTGGCGTGTACACACACACACACACACACACACACACACACACGTGCTAACACACACCCAGACACATGCCAGACTCTCGGCACACATGGACAGAGGGCTCCATAAAGAATATTTTGTTCCCTTCCTGCGTGTCGGGTTTTGGGCAGGGTGGCAGTGTGCAGTGAGTTCAACCCTCCTCCCAGTGCTGCCCGGACACCTAGTCAAGCTAATCCTTCTTGACAGCCACAGGCGGAGCTGACTTGCTAGCGCCTGGCCACTCACTCTTCACTGGGAACAGCACTAGACTTTTGCTCCTGTGTCCGCAGAGCCCTTCCTTCCAGACTCTCTCCCAAGATCCTTATGCTTAAACTTTCCCTCCTCGAGTGAATAGCACCTGGTGAGGAAGGTGAGGGCCAGGGGCTCCAAGCCTGCAGCGTATAATGGGTACCTATGAGCAGACTGAAGTTGGGCATCCTGACAGTGGAGGGGAGTGCACCCAGGGAGCAGATGACCGGACACCCCACCCCCTGCTGTGTGGCCATCATGGTGGTGACCCAAATATGCAGAAACAAAGGCTTTATTTGAAAAAGACATTTAAAACCCATATTTTAAATGTCTTTTTCAAATAAAGACATTGCTGCTAAAACAGTGATAACTTGAGTCAAACATTTAACCATTCCACCATTCCATTTGCCCTGTTTGACAGATGGAGAAAATAGTACCTGTTTTTCATGCCTTATAGGGGTGTAGAAATAATATGATTCATGCAAAAGTCTTTACAATGTGAAGTGCATGTATGACTATTACATTCATGTCTAATTTAAAAATGAGGAGGGGTGGGGGAGAGAAGAACTTGACATTGTCCAGTGGACAAGTCATATTGTATTGCGGTCAAGTGGAAAGCTGGTCTGCAGTGCATGTATAAGCTTGTGTGTGTGTGTGTGTGTGTGTGTGTGCGCGCACGCACGCACGCATGCACGCACGTCCATGTGCCTGCACACTTCGGAGGCAATGTCAATGGGAGTGTAGGATGAAATCCAGAACCAGTTTAAGGGACTAGAAATCATAGACAGTGATTTGAAAAACCCATGCTGGGGTTGGAGCACCTGACTGTTCTTTCCTCTGCTAGTGGTGACTCTGGCAGTGTTTTACCACAGTCTTAGTTTCATCCAGTTGTTAACGAGTCTAACCGTATACCCACTACTCTCCTTGTAATGAGACAGGACCAAAGGATGGGGCTCTGACTCAGTTCTCACAGAGCTTGTGCTTGCTGGTGGGACCTCAGGGTCCCTTTGTATACCAGCTAGTAACGACCTGTTGGTCACTGTGGTAGGAGAGCTAAGAATTAGTCTGTCTGGGAAAGTGAGTATTTCAGACATACTATCGAGCACTCCAAGGTCGTGAGATGACCAATGCAGACAATGGCTGCTGGTAGAGGAGAGAGGAAGGAGAGACGCTGTGCTGACGTGTGTAGAAAGACTTCAGGCCCAGAGGGAGAGATGGCCTCTTCCAGATACTGTGAAAAGCTGTATGGATGGAACCCAGAATAGATGGGACCTTGAAACCAGGTCGCCAGATTTTGTTACTACAAATACAAGATGCCCAGTTAAATTTGGATTTCAGATAAACACGCAGTGTTTTAGATACATACATGCCTACTAGAAGTGACCCGTCGTTTATGTGGACTGGGTGACCAGGCAACCCTGCCTTGAAGACCAGGCCAAGGGAGCGAGGAGTTCCTCTTAAGACATGGAGAAGTGACAGTGAACACTGTCAATGCCTTGTACCTTTCCTGGTGACCTGTCCCAAAGTCCCCTGCAGCTGAGATAGGGCAGCTGCCTGCTCATGCCTTTGTCTCTGCCTGAAGGACTCCGGGCAGGGCAGTGGGCTCAGCCTGTGCAGGGACACCTGGAAGGGCTAGGGTAATGTCTTGAGGGACACCCTCCACTAAGGAGGGTGTCATTGGAGGACAGTAGCCCAGTTCCCCTATTCCTGGTGGGGACAGTTCTGACGTGGGTTCTGCAGGGTGTTCTGGGGGTCCCTGGCAGGGCTGAGCCCCCACTGCACCCTCCTCAGCTTTCTGGCTCCCTGCCTCTCCCCCCCACTCACTCAGTTGAGCCGAGCTAAACTGCCGCACCTGCTCTTGTCTGGTGATATTTTGGAAGGCTCCAACCTAAGAAGCCGCTAAAAGGCAATGAGAGGGAGGCTGGGAACGTGTGCAGAGCAGAGCGAGGGGTGAGTGCCTACTCAGGGAAGCCCACCTGAAGCTCTGGCAACCCCCAGGGGTGAGGGTCCAGGGCCCCACAGTGAGGTCAGAGAAGAACAAGGAAGGGCAGGTGGAGACGCCAAGGGAGATGGGGGAAAGGGAACTGGAGATGGAGCTGGCGTTCATGGAGCAGGGTGGGTTCCTGGGGGAGTTCAGGCACAGCTTTGGGGCTGAGGGCAGCAAGTCCATGGGCAAATCACTTCCACCTCCTCAAGACCAGGGTCAGATGGGGGTGGTGTCTCCGAAGTGCCATTTCCAGGGCAGTTTTCAATTCCAAGGAGTTTCTCCTAAAAGACATCAAGGTTCTGGTGGCCCTGTGAGCCTAGTCATTTAGTGGTGACAAATGGCATTTGTGGTGACAAGGCCTCCGGGGGCCTCTAGTATCCAAGCAACCTGTCTTATGGTTCAATTGGATGAGCACCTTTTAGGACCTCAGTTTCCACCCCCACATCTGGCTCACTGTGTTGGGGAATCACTGCAAACTCCTCCCTTACTGCCAGGGCCCCCGCTGTGCCTTGAGGTCCTGGGGAAGAAGAATCCATTTCATGGGACACCCCAGTGTCTGTGGGTTGTTGCCGGTAAGAGAAACCTATAATTACTAAATAATTTGTAAGTTCGATTAGATGGGTGTCGAGGTATTCAGGAAGAGAAAGTAGCTCTTGGGTCTCAGAATGTCACCTTGCCTGACATTAGCCTCTTTCTCAGCCATCTCGGATCACCTTCATGGGCTACCTTCTCGGGTCTTGCCAGGGGCAGGGAGGATTCACAGGAGAGGGCAGCTGGCATGGATTCCAGTCTGGAGATGCACTGGGCCGGTAAAGGAGCAAATGGGCACAGTGGCTGGAGCTGTGGCCCCTGGTGCCTGCAGGAGGAACAGTGAGGACCGTAGGGGTGGCTTCACAAAGTGTCTCACTGGAGATGAAGCCCTGCACAGGCTCTGCCGGCACTTTGGGAGCAAGTGTGTTCTTTCTCCTTTTTTTTTTTTTTTTTCTGTGCCAGAAAAAGCAGTTTCCCTGTGAAAGCTGCAAGCCATGAGTCCCCCAGGATTACCTCGATCCGTGACTGTTGGCTGGCACGCTGTGGTCTTTGGGACTGTTTACAAGTCAATGACAGGGCAGGTAGCCAAGGGGAAGGAGGGGCTTCAGAGAGAAGGACCCAAAGCAGAGCCTGTGGGAACACTGCTGAGTAGGGCATTAGTGACCGACTGCACATGTCCCCAGCTCTCATGGTACGGGAGCTCCAGACACCCTCCATAGTCACTCGAGTCAGACCAACAATAGAGCCAAGAGCAGCTGCTGGTCACAGAAGGTTGTGGAGACACCGCTGGGCTCCGGAGGGTCTGCTGCTCCTTGTGCCTCCACCTGCCCTGTGGCCGCAGCACCCTCTGTGTCTGCAGTGGGCCTACCCCACACTGTGTTCAGCCCCCAGGCCAGGAGGACCGGATGTCAGTAGGCTCTCTGTCACTCACCAATGAAACGGCCTGCACTGGTGTCTCGGGGAAAGAGGGTGCCGTGTGGCACAATGGTGGTGTCAGCTTTGACCTTACTCTTGACCTTGGTTAATTTGTACAACCTATTAGCTGGGTTAGGGTTGAGGGCAGTGTTTTTCAAAGTGTGGTTCTTGGACTAGCTGAAGTAGAATCATTGGGTATTTGTTTAAAATGCAAAATCCTAGGTCTCAGCCCAGACCTACTAAATCAGAATTTCTGAGGCTGAAACCTGTGATTCTGCATATTTATTATGTTCTCCAGGTGATTGTTATCCTACTGGGATTTAAAAACAATTGCCTTCCAGCTTAGTGTAATACTGATCTGTCTTTTTCTGTCCCCTAGGTTAGTACTTCCATCTACCGACCTATCATCTGTCTGTCTAAATGTCCACCTAACATCTCTCCACCTTCTGTCAATCATTTTGCACTATTCTCAACTGAGCCTTTCAGTGGCTTGGTGCACCATAAACTCTTTATAGGGCCCAGAGTATGATATTGTACAGTTCATTAGTGCAGCCACTCGATGATGGAGCTCCCAGAACTCTCCTGTGGCTTTCAGGTTGATAAATGAAGCCTAAATGCAGCTCCATAGTGCCCTGACTGTGAGATGGCTGAGCACGGGCAGAACATGCTGGCTGAGGGCCAGCAGGGCACGGTGCAGAGCTGCACCTGAGGAAGGAATGGGCAGCTGGAGAATGGACCCATGGCTCTCCTTGCTCCAGGGCTGTTCCATACCAAGCAAGCGCCGGCGGCCCTGGCGCAGCATTCACGGCTGGAGTGCAGAGCACACCCACAGACTGCAGAGCCCGGAGGAGAATTCCCTCATCGTGCCCGCTTGTGCCCACGTTAAGATGGTCCCCTCGAATTTACATGGTGGGTGGCTGGACGGCCAGGCTGGAAGTGAAGTGTGCACCTTGACTCTGGTGTCCTAGTATTGTTGGTGGGAAGTTTCTAGGTCCTTACAGGAATGAGGCTCTGCCTTCTTCAGAGTAGCCACATGACCAATGCAGATCCTTCAGCCCTGGTCATCATTACCAGGAGGACATCCTGGTACCGAGTCAGCAGGTGGTGACTGACCCAGCTGGTGTGTCTTGCTCTACAGGCCATCAGGTCCTGAGGGCTTCGCTGGTATTCCTCCTGCTTATTTCCTTTGAACCGACCTCCTCCAGTAAACCCAGAAAGCCTGTCTATTATCCGTCTCCACTGGGGCTGGTGACTCTGACTGTGGTGACAGCCATCGCTGACCACACACTGGCTGGCTGACTAGCCCCACATTGACTGAAGAAATTATGTGGGAGCACCTTGCCTTTGTTGAAACCTCTTCATCTGCTTAGACTTCATCCATGTTAAATATTAAATCAGTGTGTGCCCTCTAAAACCTCCAGCTAAATAAACACGTTGGGAAATGGCGTGGATTCTTGACTCGGTTTTCTCTTACTTTTCCCGTCTTCCCATTCCCATTTGTTCTGCTCACTGCCAGGGACTCTTGGCTCCTGGGCATCTTTTTGCTGGGATGGAGCTCCGGGCACTTGGGGGGCTGGGAGAGAATCCCGCCCTCATGCTCCCTAGGCGTCGGTCCCTTCTTCTCTGCCCATCCTTCCTTCAGCCCAGGGTGTGAGCAGTGATAGGACCACCCCTAAAATACCAGTTGTTTCCCATTACCCTCCAGAGGAGGGGAGCCACCCATAACCCCTAAACTTTGTCAACACCCTTTAAAATGTGGAACAAGTGGAGGCCGATAAAGTGCTGAGGCATCAAATTGAAGGAGTCCTTCTTTCGCTTGGCCAGTCAATCATGACCTTGCTCTAAGATGAGTGGAGGGGCCACGTGAGACAGACGCTTGATCATAGGGAATTCTTATAAGACCCCACTGCCACCCAGTGTGCGGCCTGTGCGACCAGACCAGAGGAAGTGGTTAAAGATTAGCTGCATCCTCCCGGTCCAGTGGGAGCTGTACCCTGGGGTGGACTCTCTATTTCAGTCCTGCCTTGGAATGGTTAAGCAAATTGCACTTGTCTCTTTCTTCTACTACTTACTTGAAAATAATTAAATCTCCAACCTTTATGTCCTGTTGACAGGAAGCATTCTCTGCCAACTCATGACTTGCCACAGACCAATAGGATACTGGAGAGGCTTTGGGGCTTCTGCAGGGCCTCTGTGAGTTGGGTGCTCCGCTGGGCAGTGAGGTTGCTGATGAATGCCCACCAGAGACCAATTCGCTCCCCATAAACCCCAGGCTTCCAGCCCCCACCCACGCTCAGTGTGGAAAGCCTGATGCTTTTCAGGGGGACCCAGCAGGGAGATAGTAGAGACCCCCTTGTGCAGGGGAGGGGAAGAGCAAAGATGCCATAGAGCCAGGGGTGAATGTCAGAACGGGGAATGGGCTGCTCAGTCTGCAGTGGAGAAATGGAGAGCAGGGGTTGCTAAGGCCAGGCTTGCAGTTAGGCAGGTGATGGCCAGGACTGGAAACCAGTGGGTTTGTCTGTCTGTGTCCCGGGTGCTGTGCCATGTGTTGAGGACGTGGAGATGTACAGTGCTGTAGGCTGAATCATGTTCTCCTGAAACACTCTGCTAGAGTCCTAACCCAGTACCTGTGAAGGGGACCTGCTGTGAAACAGGATCCTTGCAGATGGAATTTAGATGTGCATTGAGATGAGGTCATCAGGGGCTTCTAATTCTAAATGATTGGGGATCTTATAAGAAGAGGACATTTGAGCACAGAAACAGAGCCTCAAGCCAAGGAACATGGGACCTCCAGAACCGGTGGGGGAGGCCAGGAAGGGTCCTCCTCTGAGGTGTCAGAGGGAGCAAGGTCATGCCAGTACCTTGATCTTGGCCTCTGGCCTCCAGAACTGTGACAGGATAAGTTTCCCTTCTTATAAGCCACCTGGTTTGCAGTGCTGTGTTATGGCAGCTCCAGGAACCTACTGCAACGGTGTCTCTGTCCCCAAAGCATAATCAGGGCAGCAATCAAAAAGCCAGCATCTCTATTCTGGTAGAGCCACGTGAGCAGATGTGGGCACCAGAGGGAGGCTCTTGTTGCCTCTCAGTCTGCATCTTCTCCAGGCTCCGAGTCTTTCCTGGCCTGGATTCCCTGCTCCCCTCTGCTGGAGGCCCCAGTGTGGTGGGGCTGGGAGAAAATCGAGCATGTGAGGAAGGTTGTGTGGCAGTTCTGGGACTCAGCCAGAGCACCTCCGCGTGGCCCTGCTGTGTGCCCACTGAGACTCGCTCACATCCTGGGCTGGGGGTGCAGGGTGGGGAGAGGCAGCACCATCTCCTCTGAGCTTCTGCTCGATGGGCAGACAGGTGTCTGTCTGGTTCCCGGGGTGGTGGGGAGGGGGGGGCTTCTTCCTGGTTCCACCTGCTCACAGCATCAGCCACACGCACAGCCTCTGGGTCCTAAGCTGGAAGCCAGCGTTACCCTGGCCCATCCTCGTCTACACTGTGTTGTCTGCGAGCACCCCGCCATCTTTCTTCCCCTGTGCGACTCAGGCACTGCTTGGTGGGGGTCTGTTTGCTGCGGCGATGGCAGGTCAGTGTTGCTGATTACGCCGGGGCACAGCCGTCAACCTGATTTAGCTAACGTTGATGGACCACTGGTGATGTGCCAGATGTGAGCTTTTATGTAAGCTGTCTCTCCTTATCTCCGAGTGATCCTGTGAAGTGTTATTAGGGCTGCTATTCATCTTGTTATCCTTGGAATAGAAAAGAAGCCCTGGTCATCTATGGCCCACTGTCATTCTAGCCCAAGCTGCTAGGAAAACCTCCTCAGTGTCTCAGCTGGGGTCTAGTGGCTCCCCCCAGTCCTGGCCTTGAAGCCCTGTGGGCTGTCCAGGCCCCCTTGGGGCAGGAAACAAGGATGGGCAGGTCAGGACACAGCCGCCATGGTGGACGGGAGAGGCAGAACATTTCAGAGTGCCAGCTGCCTTCCCATTGCTGGGCTTGGGGGCTCCCTACCCTTTATATGGTCCCTTTTTAGGTGGTCTCTGAAGGTTATTCTTTATCTTTCTCATTAAAAAAAAAAAAAAACAGCCCCACAAAACCTGCCTTCCATACTTCATACTTTCATGGTGCAACTCTTTAGGGATTCTTTCCCAAATTTTGTTTTTTTAAAAAATTAAACATTGGAATAAATACTAAAGCAGGAATTGGGAAATCCTGGCTGGTTCTTCTGTCGGGTAGCTGGGGACTGAGCCTCACTGCATTTGCTGCAAATCTGTCATATGCCTGGTGTGGTGCAAGGCATGGGGCCACCCCTGGCACCACGACTGCACAGCCCTCCCTCTGTGCAAGGGTATCCTCGGACACCTGTCACCTGATCTGCAGCTTTCAAAACACCAAACCCATAGAGGCTTAAAACAACAAACTTCCATTATTTCTCACTATTCTCTTGGTCCCCTGGGATGTTCTTGTGATCTGAGCTGATCTCTGTGGTCAGTTGGCAGCTCGACTGGGCACAGAGTCCAGGGTGGCCTTGCTCACGTGTCTACGCATTGCCCACTTGGCTCCACATGGCCTGGGCACAGGGGACAACCTGGGATTGTGTCCAGCAGGCCGTCCAGGCAGCAGCGAGAGAGTAAGGCCGAAATCCCAGGGCTTCACAAGCACCTTGGCCACGGAAAATGGTCAGGGCTGAGATTTAGGAGATGGAGCAACAGACTCTGACTGTGGGTGTGAAGAGCTGCAGGCCACAGCGAGAGGTCACATACCCAGGGACGGGAGGGGCTAGTGTGAGGTGGTCCAGTTGTTAGACCTCTCGAGGTCTGTCTACCTATGTCAGGCATCAGTCTGTGGTATAACCAGTATTATCAAAGAATGTCATCCAACTACATACCACTTAAATGATGTGCCTTTGTACTATGCACAATGTTTAATACATAGACATTAAAAAGAGTGTTGGAGTCCAAGGTCTCCATTTGATCTCAGTGCCTCCACTGTGTGGAAATGGTGCTTTGCCCTGGGGATAGGTGGCTTCCAGGTGCGAGAGGGCAGGAGAGGCATGCAAGGTTGGGGCCAGGTCTTTCCACAGCTGGGCATTTGGTAGCATCCATTTCCCCCTTGAGGAGGACTGAGTGCCAGAGGAGGTATTTTGCCCCTGGAAGAAGCCAGTGTCAGGAGGACAGAGAGGTTTTTCTCTCACCACTCTGCTCATGAAGGTGTTTTGAGATTTCTGGAATGACCTGGGGCACAGGTAACAGAATCTCCTCAGCTCCCTGGCAGGGACATGCCCAGCAGTGATACCTAACAGGACTGATGAACTCAGCAGGTGGCTTTCTGCTGGGCTGCCAGGTGGGAAGTTGGGCCAGAGGATGTGTGGTGGCCTCTGGGAGCCAGAAAGAATGGGAGCTGTATCCTGAAGAAGAGCTTGACAACCCACCAAGGTCACCTGATTGGTTAGTGGCAGAGCAGGGGTTGAAGGTTGGGTTTTTCTACTCGAGCAACATTGGGAAGGGAGGAAATTCTTTCAGGGCTGCAGGCGAGGGCCACGCTGCTTGGGCCGTGGCTCTGCCAGAGGCACCTGCTCCTCTAGTTGGAGGTCAGAAAATGGTCTCAAAACAGCTCTGTTTATTGCTGACTCAAAACAGGCATTGTGGGCAGAGAGTGCAGACCTGGGCTCCGGTCTTACCCCGCGACCAGCCCGTGTACCCTCGGCCCACCTCTCCCCTCTCCTCTGTAGTCATGTTAGCATGTGTTTTCAGGAGAGCCTCAGAGCAAAGCTCTGCAGGCTTGGCACGCAGGCGCGGAGTTTGCCACTCTAGATACAACGTGACGTCAGGTGGACACTTGGTTCTGTTCTTTGTTAAGTGGTGACCTCCTCTAAACCATTTTTGTCACCTTCACCTTCAATCATCCCAATGATTCTGTGCCTCCGCTTTGGTCCTCAGTGGTGGGGGAGGGAGAGTGACCTGAGCGGTCATCACAGAGGCCTCATTCTGGAGCTGGGATGGCCCTTCAGAGTTGCCCACATTGGGGCGAGGAGACCAGGCTTTTGCAGTCACTGTCCCTGGGAAGGGATGTGGGCCTCTGTGGGGAGCAGACTCAGCCAGGGTTGTGGCTGAGTGTCAGCACCCGACTCCTCCTGTACCTGGAGCCCCCACTCCCCACTTCCCTTTCTGCATCTGCTCCTCTTTCTTCTGCTGTCCCCCAGTCTCCTTCACTAGGCCCTTATGGAGGTGTGCCTCAGTTCCTGGAAGGTTGTGTGGCAGTTCTCAGCCCCCGGAAGCCACCTCCCTCCCACGCAGGCAGCCCTGTCCTGGCTGGTGTTGGAGGTGGTGAGGAAACTCAGAAGCCACGCAGACCCGGTGGGGAGAACAGAACATAGACTATTTTTTTTTTAATATTTTATTAGTTGTTGGTGGCCCTTTGTTTATTTTGATGCGGTGCTGAGAATTGAACCCAGTGCCTCACACATGCT